ATTTTCTATATGCTTGAAGCTGACTAACCACTGTCGCCTTTTTCTTTTCTTTTTTTCAGCTATCTCCAAAAAGAAAACTGTTTTATTGCAAAAAACAGACCTCTTGTAAACTGTAAACTGAATTTGGTTTCTTTCAAGCCAAATACAATATCAGAAAGGTGACAATTGGAGCAGAACTATGCAAAAACAATTAAAAATGTTTTAAAATGTGTTTAACGCACTATTAAAAGGAAAGGAAGAAGGTCTGCAACTGTTCTAATCATGCGTCTCTAAGAACTCTCCATACAAAGTCCTGTGTGGGTGATCAGTCAAGTCCAGATAAAATGAATATCACTTTATTGTAAGTGAAGCCTAATAGACCTGGAAATACATAAAAGATAGGAACAGCATTTCAGAAGCTGTGGCATTTGGTTTGGACTTTTTGTTCTGAATGACCTCCAATAGCAGGAATCAATGAAAGATTCATTTTTGCTCTTTTGGGGAGGGGGATCTCTAGGTGACCTTTGTGAAAATGTTCCACCATTTTGGCAGAATCCGAATAAGTGCAGACCATTTCATGTAGACAGTAAGTGTATGAAATGAGTGCTCCTGTCGTTCCAGCCTGGCTCCCTTTGACAGCATGATGATAGAAGCGTCACATCCTTGGGAGAGTAAATGCAAACTGACAAGAGATGAGCCTTTGGTTGCTGAATATAATACGGAATTGTGCTCTGAGTGTCTTATTATCTTGTCTGTTGATGTCTGAAAGGGGGAGATTTGCTTGAGAAGAGAAGACAGAAACTGTACGCATCCAACACCATCCCGTCCTTTGAAAAAAATGGCTTGCCCTACTAACCACAGCTTTCCCACCTAATGTCCACTTCTACTTGGAATAAATACACGGCGGCAGGATGTTTGTGGTGCCTCGTAGCCCCTGTTAGCTGAAGTGGAATACTATTTGCACAGGCAAGCTTTTAGGAGAACGACCCTTTCACCACTGCAGTAAGCATGTGGTGGGTGTAGAAGGTGGACAATTTACTCTAGGCAAACATGACCGCTACTGTCATTGTCTCCGACTGCCTCCTCCTTCTCAGCTCTTATACATAGTATTAGGGGACTAAAACTAAAGTCATACATCAACTCTGCAGGGAGGAGAAGTTGTGGTGGGCGCTCTAGGTAGCAAAACAAATACCACAATACCATGGCACATGTTATTGCAGCACAAAGTACACATGCAGCGATATCAGAGTTCAAAGCTGATTAAACATGTTCAATGTCAAAGCAATTGTTCACTACGGTGGCAGGAAATGTTACTCTGGAGCCTTCTAAATCAGAATGTAATTTGGAAATGAAATGCAAAAATGGGTTTAGTTTTGCCGGATAATATTTTATACAACTTAAGAAAAACACAAGTAGATTATTTTAGTTGTTATTAGTTGTACTATTTTCTCTTTTGTGCTTATTACTTATTAAAATGATCGATAGAACACTTGATCCCTATTAATACATTACTAATAGATAGCTGCAGCCCTAGTGAGTACATTAAGGTACAACTTGCATTTTTTTTATTACACTTTTTGTAACAAAAAACCCCAGCGACAAAAGTGTTTGCATATTTATTAAGGGAGTATAAAACCAATTAGCAGTATCAGCAGGAGACTTACTTACAGGCTAAACATACAACTATGTCAATCATACACTGTGTATTAATGTGTGTGTGCATGTTATTAAACTAAGTAGTAAAGATGGGTTCAGTTTTACTGCATTCAAAATCCTCGTTGTTATGTCTTCATTGTTTGATACAGTAATACTTGAATTCTAGAGGAGCAAATTCGGTCTCATTTGCATTTCCTTGAAAACATGACTTGTTTCATTGAAACTGTTAAGTGTGTGTGCTGTTGCTGTGTGCCTGGGTGAGAGTATGTCTTTGTGAAAATGTCTGTCATTAAATTGGAGCACTGTATCAGAGAGGTTACGCTAAATAAAAGCAGTAAAGACGAACAAGGTTTTTTGGATACTCTAAAACTGAGGTTACACAATATTCTTGCAAGTAAAGGGGAAAGAAACGTAATATGGTGGCTTCTTCGCAGTTTTGAACCACATAAAGAAAACCAGTGAATAATGAAAGGCCTTTAGTTTAAAGGCTCAGTTCACGGTTGTTTTTTTATATATGTGGCATTCATGTTGCAACATTGAAAACTTATAATATAATCTCCTAATGACCATGAGAGTTAACTGCTTGTGTTTACGTGAACATCTTCAAAATGTCAATAATCAGGATACGTTTACCTTTATGGCCACATGTGTTACACTTTATTGGTTTTAGAGAGGTTTTACAGACTTCAATCAGTAGGTAATGTAATTCAGTTAAAATGTCCAAAAGGTTCACACAATCTTCAAATAAATATTAAAAAAGATTACTAACCAGATTCCAAAATGAGTAAAAAATACATGTGTGACTATCTATATCAGCAAACCATTCCCTTCTGTCTGATAGCATTTAAGGAAATGTATTGAAAACTGCTGAGTCTCTTTCCTCCCACCCCCACCCTCTCTCATTCTTCCCTCTTATATCCCCCAGCAAAAGACACGACTGTGCTACGTCTCCACATCCGCCCAGCCTTTCTCTCTGTCTGACAGGTCATGTGGGCAACGCTTCCCAAATCAAACCTGCCGATGGCACCGCCCGGGGCTCAGCCACCGGCCAGAGAGAAACCATCTCCCCCGAAAAACTCTCACAGGAGAGGATGCAACCAGCCATCACACAGGCCATCACAGAAGCACGAAATAAGGACAACATCCTATTATAGATCAAATGTAATACCCACTGTTTCCCTAAATGACTTCTTATTGACAATACGATTTAATAAAACCGAAAAAGCTGCACATTTAAATGAATATTAAAGCATTTAACAACATTTAAGTGTGTGTGCAATTGGAAAAGAGAAGCAGAAAGTAACAAGAAAGCAGCAGGAGAGGACTCGGATAGAGACTGATCAGAAATGAAGAAAGAAGGAGAGAGAGACTTGATGCTTATTAAAGCAAATTGCAAGACTTCTGAGACAAATCCTGCAGTACATTGCCCTTGTTTAGATCCTGCAGTACATTGCCTCGGGTTATTCTTGAAAAAAGGATTTAAAAGACAGCTGAACTCTCGCTGATTTGCTATATTTTGCTTTCCCTTGCCTAAATCCTTATTTTATTGCGATCACCAAAGTTCAGCAAAGCTATAGGAACTATACTCTGCCACTTCCCAGGACACACACACACACACACACACACACACACACACACACACACACAACCACACACACACACACACACACACACAACACACACACACACACACACACACACACACACACACACACACACCACACACACACACACACACACACACACACACCACACACACACACACACACACACACACACACACACACACACACACACACACACACACACACACACACACACCGTATTCTATTAACAACTCCCATTGAAATGGAGAACAACTGAAAGTATGCACTGTTTGCTGCAGTATAAATGAATAACACAAGTATATGCCAGAGTTGCACACTCTTACACACTCTTACTTGCACAACACAAATAAACACACAGTTACACTTTCAGAAAATGAAAAACAGACAAGCTGAAGTGACAAGATAGTTTGTATAAATGTACAAAACAAAAACTAGCATCTAAAGCAATGAGAGAGGGATTTGTGTCACCATGCATCCTAATGAAAAACAAATAATTAAAATATTTACATTTAATTTGCAAAAATGTAGAATGGTCTCTTCAAATCCTCTTACTGTGTTCAAGAAATTAAAAAGAGTTTTGGAATGAATTTGTTAAGTGGAGATACAATTGTAAAATGTATCCATCAGGGACACATTGTTTTAATCTGCTGTTACTGCACTGCAAATGATTCCTATTTCCTACTTTTCAGTTTTAAATGATTTCTTATCATTTATAATGGTAATGATTATTATTATTATCTCTCTGACTTTCTCCTCTCAGTAAAACTATAGAGTTACATTATCATATATTTACAAATCTTAGCAAATGTATAAATTAAAATAATTTATACATTTAGTAAAATGGTAATTTATACAATGATGCTTTTTTGCTAAATAATGAGGTTCAGGGATTTCATTTGTCCAGACCACGTAATAATTAATTTAAAGAAAACCAAAAAAAAAGTGTCATCTTAATGAGCTAAATACAAAAATAATGAGCCTTGATGATTATTTTTATTTGGCTAATTTTGAAGATCATTTGAAACTGAACATTTAGACCAAAAATGAGATAATAAACTGAAAAGTCCTTGCAATTTAAAAAAGTATAAAATGATAATACATCTGATGATAGAAACATAAATGATAGGTTTTAATTTCACTCAGCAGCACTAAGTTATTCTGTATCAGCATAAGTTGTTATTAATTCAAACATTACAACAAACATAATATTTTCTCCATTGGAATTAACAAAAAAGGAAACGATATTACCGCACACAATCAGGGTTGTGAGGGGGGAGGGGCGGGGGGGTGAACGCACATTTTCCTGACAGGTCCAATCTGACTTTTAATTGTCAGTTTAAACTTTTAAATACTTTTAATATACAGAAGGGCCATGCAGAGCTCCTGCCACAAAATATGCAACAGTAATAAAGCATGCAGTGTATCCTATATTAAAGACAGAGAGTGCAATACAAATGTACTGCATCTTCCGCATTACTGTCACTACACTTCTAACTGTCCCCTACAAGAAGGAACTGCCCTATCGGAGAATCTGAAGGCTGAAAGTACATGAAACATCTTAATACACAAAATACAATTTCCCAAAACAGATATCCAATCTTTGAGGGAGCCGAACATCGATTTGGTCCTTGCACTGAAAGTTAGTTTGCTGCGTGACACTGCTGACACCTGTCCCAGCACTGGAAGCTCTCTGCTCTCAGCACCAGACCTCAGACAGACACTTTATGAAATAGAGGAAACAGACGTGAGCCGACATACCGTACAGCTTGTTTGGAGTGCCCTCTCTGTCCGTGGCCTCGGAGGGCAGGAGCAGGGGCTCGTCGTTCAGATCGCTGTCTGGGGTGGCCGCTTTGTCGTCCACCCGGAGTTCTGCTGCGCTCATGTCGCTGCGCAGGGAGAGCAGCGGCTTGCTCAGCTGCCCTGTAATCATCGGGACCTGGAGGGAGCTGGGAGCCCAGGTGGGAAACAGGGAGGAGGAAAAAAAAGAGAAAACACTCCTGGTTAGATGTGCTTTGGCGTCTCACCCTCAACGGCTCCTTCTCTATGTCTCACTCTCTCTCTACCCAGCTTCTCCTTTCTATCGCTCACTCATCACTCTCCCTCTCTCTCTCGCTCGCTCCCTCTCCAGCTCTCTCTTTTATCTGAGGCTGGTGCTACCCCGCTGATACTGCCGGCTGCTGCCTGGTGAAGAACGGTTACGGATCGTGTGGCGTTACCATTATACCCTGCAGTCCTAAAACTGTCCTACATCCGTCTCCAAGGGCTCATTACTACCTGACATGTGCCTCATCTTCAGCACACACTAAGCTGACAGCAGTCTGCAAAGAGGTCCACAGGCTGTGCGCTGAGAAACACATGAAATAAATAGAATTCTAGAAAACATGAGTGAAAATACACACCAGTGATTATATCAATTTGCCTACATTTGGGGACTCACAATGAGATCAAAGGTGACATGTTGCAGCAGAGTGTGAGGCAACATGAACTTAAGGCCTGATTTTAACAAGAGACGATATTCCCAAAAATGTCCTCCCAATTATTTTCATTATTTTGTCAGCACTTAGAAACTAACAAATGTCTAAATGTCATGATAAGAGCATAATCTGATTGAACATATTGGAATAGAATAAACTCAGCAAAGAGAACAAATAGGAACTTTTGAAATAAAAATAAAAAATAACCTGTGAGAAGAGCATTTTAAGAATGCCATTAAAAGGTTTCATCCGGACAAGGAATTTGTTATGATTTCTGAAAATATCCAAAGTTGCTTAAAAGCTGTTGCTCTTACCTAAACAAAGCTCCAGACAAAAAGAGTAAAAAAAAGAGTTTCAGAAAGTCCAAATGTTGACGTCAGGGGACCAGCAGCTAAAACATGCCTCCACAGCGCAGAGAGCAGTACATGTTTCTACTGAACCAGGATCAGCCTTCAACCTGCGTGTATCTGAAGAGCCACCACAGGTTCAAGCCTGAGGTTCTTCCAAAGACAGGCACTGGAAATGTCACCTCCTCCCTCCCTCTCTCTCCCCCTCTCTCTCTCTCTCCCCCTCCCTCCCTCCCTCACACACACAAACACACCCCCCCTGTCTCTTCCCCCTTGTGTCCTGAGACTGGAGAGCTCCTCAGACAGTGTTCACCCCACCTCAGGCTCTGAGAGGGACACAAAACAGCAGGACTACGGCCCCTTCCTTATTTATGAATAAAGTCCAACCTAAATATATTTGAGCATGAGACCAGCACATATAGGCACAGTAAGAAAAATAGAGGTCTAATATTGCCCCTGCACTCCCAACACCCCCACCTCCCACTTCTATCAGGGTGGTCGATGAGTCCCTGCCCAGAGGGGATTTTTTAATGTGCTCATCACGGGAATCAGCCCTCCTTGATATGACACATGATAATCTATGAAAATGTTAATCAATAGAAATAGTTTAAGCTGTCGTTAAAAACGTGAGGCGGCTGGTCAATACTCATATCCCTGGTAACAATGTCACTAGTCATCAGCGCTTCATTTGTGGAGCACTTAAATGTGGGACACTGCGCATCAATGCACCTCTCCGCCCGCCGAGGTAAACACATTTTCCCCTCTGTCTGAGCCTGGCCACTCTGCATGCCTTTCGACCCCCCCCCCCCCCCCCTCCACCTCCTTCCTCCTCTCCTTTGAGTTGCTTGATAGGTCCACTGGAGGGCAAAATTAATACCTAATTGAATCTTGCAGTCATCAAAATAATCAATAGTTTTTTATTATTTATTCTTCACAGTCTGTTGACTGTTTGAAAGCTCAGAGGGACAGGGGAGAGCACAGGCAGCTCTGAAATTCCTACCGTTTCACAATGTAATTTTCACTGGGGCATGAGAGTTTGCAAGAGCGATACAAAATGAGAGCATTGGTTTGTGTTAGGGAGGTGAAGGAAAAAAAATAAAGGAAAAATGGGAATCTTTGCCCCAGCAGCTACGATGAAATATAGAATAAACAAGCTACTGACACTTCAGAGCAGGGCAGGGTCCTTTCTGTCCATCCCTCCATCTTTTTCCCTTTCCCCTTTTCTCCTTATTTCATCATATCAGGAGTGTGGTGGTACCTCTCTAATGCTGGCATTTCTCTTCCTGACAGACTCCAAACAAGTGCTGGGAATGAGATCAGAGCTCTAATCTTCCCCTGGCCTCTGAGGCTCGAGGATAAGGGGGCAACACAGCTCTCAGCATCGTACGCAGCAGTTAATTACCTCATTTCAAAACAGTTTGCTTTGCCTATTTGCAATCATGCCTCTGGAATGGGTGTGTTTCTCAATTCAAGCGCAGGTAGTAATGTAGTTATGCGTAATGGGATAACTGTAATCTTATTGTAAAAATCCGTAATAAAAAGGGACATTAGAAATTACCATAATAAATTGCATTACTGATTCTAAGCAGTGGATGTGTAACGGATTAGCTTCATTTTTTAAAGTAACCCTCAGACCTCTGATTAAAGCAATAATGTGAGTTTTTTCAAGTGTGTGTGTGTGTGTGTTTGGGAGTTGGCGGGAGCAGACATGAGAGAGGTTTGTCTCATTTCTTCTCTGTTCACTCAGTCTGGCCACAGCTCAGGAACAGGTTGCAGGAACACGAAAAAGCACTCGATCCCCCCTCTGCTTCCCGCAGCAGCCGAATAATCAGTGGCTAGCAGAGAGTCCCGAGCGTCATCAGATACCCATGCTAATAGCTAGTGGTCTTACCAGTGATGTCCCAGTGTGAGGGACACTGTGTGAGGGGTATCAGCCGGAGACCATCACACTCCACTCCAACACTCCAGGCTCCTCTGGTTATTCAAGAAAAAGAAAAAAAACCTCAGCTTAATATCGTTTTATCTCTCATACTGTTACATAACAGTGTTCAACATGCCCAAACAGATATTTTAAGCTGTTAATACATACTAAGTTAGCAGTGACAAAACATTTTATATATTTCTCTGTTTTGTACTAAAAGAAAATGTTGCAGTACACTGACTGAAGCACATCATTTAAACTGTTGAAGAATTGAATTAAAGTTTCATATTAAATGGACAAATAGAAGTCTGCCGGTGTTGTAGTAATAGGTTGGAGATAACAGCAAGGCCACAGAGGTAGCTGAGGACAGTACGGGTGCATATGAGTAAAGCTTTACCAGTTATCATTCATCTTCCAAAAAATGTCTTTTAAAGCTTTTAAAAATGATATTATCCGATTCTTTACTTTCTCATACAAAACCTAAAGATATTCAATTAACTGATGAGCAATAAAATCAGCAGTACATCATCTTGTGCTGTTGAATGAGGTCATTTTTCACTATTTTCTGACAAAATGATTAATCGATTAATTGAAAAAGTAATAGGCAGTTTAATGAGGATGAAAATGATTGCTAGTTGCAGCACTATAAACCAGAACTCTCTCACAACAATCTTTGTTGTTTGCCAATATCCTCAGGTCAAACAGTCTAATTAGTGTACTATTTTTGCAGCTCCAGTATGCATAGATAGTGACATTCATAGTATACTTCATTTTCTTTTATGTCCAGTGACACACTACCTATTCTTATCCTGCTCAGAATTAGTAGGAAGTATGGAATTGGGCCAAAGATTATGAGTTTTCTACTCCTTAATGCCCTGTTGACCCGTCCATTTTTCTGCATGCCTAGAGCATGCTGGGAAAGTGCTCAACACATCTGTGACTTGATAAAGCATTTAGATTTTTAAAGTGAGGCTTCAAACTAACCCAAATGTCACCCCATGATGTGAGAGACTTCCCTTTCAGACATCACATGTTCTAATTAACATCCATGTTTTCACATCACGTGTTTCTCTTGATTGTCATGTTTACTAAGCACCACACAAATCGTGCATTGGCTGCAATCCATCTATTCCAGCTTTATTTTAAACTCATTATCAATGCTCGAAGTGTCGAAATTGACTAAAAAGCAAATACATGTCATTAGCTGATTAGTTTTGAGCTGGAAGCTTGTAATGCAATTATTATGACCCGAGTAGTGAAAGGACGCGAATACTGCCAAAATTATTGTCCGAATTATTACTGCAGTAAAATAAGTGAATGTGGCGTCTTTTCAGTCGCGCTGTTATTGTTGATCCAGGAATTTGAATTTAAAGAAATGATGGCTTAATGATCTTTGATAATGTCTTTCAAACAGTTTTGCACAAAATGTGATTTTATTAGACCATCATGTTGAATTAAAGATGACAAACATGTTGCTGTTTTAAAGATAATTCTACTGAAGTTATAGTAATACAAAATGTTGTTCAAGAACTAAACACCGAACATTTCATTGTTTGTGTTCTCATAATAGCCACATGTCAAATATATTCCTGATTCACCCATTTTGAATCACTGTGCAGCTGGTTCACTCTGCTGTGTTAGGCAAATATCCAAACACTGACATGTCTAATGTGGTGTGTTAGATGATGATTTGTCTCCCCCTTAGGGTTATTAACCAAACTGTTCCCCTCCATTATGTTAAGTGAATCTTTACGTAGTTTCCCTGAAGCCCCTAATGCATGTAAATATATATTAATGATGCAAAAATACAGCAGGTTTACATTATTTTACCTGAACTAATATACTATCTATGCATACACTTTTTGGACTAGCACGCCAGGAGTTTAGGTAGATTTGAGGTGATTTTTTCACACCCATTAATATGATGAGCAGTTATTCCTCTCTCCTCCACTAAAGCTAAAATGCTCCCCAGTGGATGGTTGGTGGGTCAGTGAAGGCTGAGGGCTATCAAAGCAGTGTATTAAAAGGAGCTCTTTGAAGCTTGTAAACCACGGTGCCCAGCAGGGCCACAACAGATAGACGGCTCTGATTGGTCAGGTGTGTGTGTGTGTGTGTGTTTTGCTAAATCGATCCACGGCGCTGACATTCTGGAGCATCAAAGCTTTCAGCACACTAATCCAACTCCTCCTATGAGGGCAAGGGTTGTTTAAAAAAAAAA